GGCAATTCTCCTGCCTCAGCCTCCTGAGTAGCTGGGATTACAGGCACGCGCCACCATGCCCAGCTGATTTGTTGTATTTTTAGTAGAGACGGGGTTTCACCATGTTGACCAGGATGGTCTCGATCTCTTGACCTCGTGATCCACCCGCCTCAGCCTCCCAAAGTGCTGGGATTACAGGCGTAAGCCACTGTGCCGGGCCCCAGTCAGGATATATTAACCACATGTGGTTAAGTACTGCTGCAAATTCCAGAAAACGTGGGATGTGTAGTCCTGTTGTGCAGCCTGCAGCATCACAGGAGAGCAAGATGATCATTGGAAGAATTATAGTATATAGCAAATAAAAATGACATTCAGAAATAAGAATTATGATCATGTACAAAATGATTTTTCAAAGAGGTGCTTCCAGAATAGGAGGATGGGAGTGCTTTTCAAATGTTTTTCCCTATCCATTCCCCTGTGCTGACAGTGACATTCTGAAATTTTAGTGCACTAGCATTCTGAAAGTTCATTTATGACTGTTTAAGACACAAATGGTCATCATTAAAGTATGAAGATGTTATATATTCACACAGAAACATATACATATATACATAGCAGCTTTTAATATCTCTGGTGTAATTGGCTTTATTTATTTGCTTCTGTCATGTGCAGTGGTTTTTTGCCTCTAGTTCTTTTTTTTTTTTTTTTGAGACAGGTTCTTGTTCTTTCTCCCAGGCTAGAGTGCAGTGGTATGATCACAGCTTACTCAGTGATCCTCTTGCCTCAGCCTTCAGGGTAGCTGGAACTATAGACATGCACCAGCACACCTGGCTAATTTTTAAAATTTTGTAGAGAGGAAGTAATGTTCATCATAAAACACATTGAAAGAGATTTTTGGGTGACTTTTAAGTGTAGAACAGGAGTGCAGACAAAAGTGGCATTTGGTTTTTATCGGGTATTCCTTCAAATAGAGGTTATTTTCTTTTATTTTATTTTGGGACGGAGTCTTGCTCTGTCGCCAGGCTGAAGCACAGTGACAGTCTCGGCTCACTGCAACCCCCACCTCCCAGGTTCAAGCGATTCTTCCACCTCAGCCTCCCGAGTAGCTGGGACTACAGGCGCATGCCAAACGCCTGGCTAATTTTTGTATTTTTAATAGAGACGGGGTTTCACCATGTTTGCCAGGATGGTCTCTATCCCTTGACCTCGCGATCCACCCGCCTCGGCCTCCCAAAGTGCTGGGATTACAGGTGTGAGCAAATAGAGGTTATTTTTAACTGTCCTATGCAATTATCTGCAGCAGCATCTGTGCATAAAGTGATTTTCTCTTGTCTCAAAGAAGTGCTGCCTTTACTTTCCTTATAAATAAATTATCCTCGTTAACATTAATTTGCTAAGAAAGCAACTTTGGAGGCTTTTTGTTGTTGAAAAAAGCCGAGTTAGTGGTGCCTGTTGTGACTTTCATGCTAGTTGTTATGCCATTGTTATAGAGTGAATACAGAATTTATTTGAGCCTGATTCCTTGAGCTTGATGCAAGAATGGGAAAATAGCTAGACTCAGAAGAGAAATGAAGAAACCTGGTTCAGAGTTGGAGTCAGACTAAGGGCCCATTACGGTGGATCTGGATCTTGAACTATCTTGGTTTACTGATCAGGCATAATTAATTTTACTCCCTCTGAATCATTGAACATTTCTAAACAAAAAATTTAGTAGACTTACTGTTTACAAATTCGAATAGGATTTGCTTTTGAGATTTGATTTTCTCTTTTTCTTTAAAATTCTTATTATTGGCATTGTTATTTTTTCTGAATAAATTTACTTATTTTTTATTGTTTTTAGAATAAATTACATAATTACATAGTTGAAAGTTATAACTTTTTGATTCCCTTTTGCTTTTCCCCCAAAAAAGTTTTAAATGATCATTTTCTAGGAGGTAGACAAAATTTTCTTTTTTTTTTTTTTTTTTTTGAGGGGGGTTTTCTTTTTTTTACCCAGGTTGGGGGGAAATGGGGGGTCCTCCCCCCACCACCACCCCCGCCTGGGGTTAGGGAATTTTCCTGCC